AGGTATATATATATAGTAAAAGGTAACTTACCCAGTCACAGTCTCATGAAAGAGTGAAGGATGGCAACAGTGGATGACGGTACCCAGACAATGAAGAAACAGCTACCCAAAGCAGAGAATAGAAGATGAACATATAAGATGTAGACCCAGTGCTCAACATATGAAGTACCTCCAATGGAGAGCAGGGTAGACCAGGAAGTGATGATGGGGAAGAAGGAGACAAGGAATAAAAGGCCAATCGAATCACAATCCAAACCTAATGGGTAAAGGAGGGAGGGAAAAGAAGTAGAGTAAGAGGAGGAAACTTGGGAAATGGATTTTATGGAAAGAAGCATTGAAAACAATGAAGCAACCCACAACACGTACTGGACTGAAAAGATCATCTAGATCCCTTCAAGAAGAAATGTAGAAGATGGTAAGAAATGAAAAACTAGAAAGAAATACTCCACATGAGTCACTAAAATGTAGGTTAATAAAAATTGAGCTGAAACAAAGAAAACCGATGCTGTGCCAGCCAGAAAATATTAAACAGAAAAACCTGGATCAGAGTGACACGAATACACAAATTTTTGGGGAAGAAGACTGATGGATGATGAACCAGAGACTAAAAACAAGAGGTAACAAACTGGGAAGTGACAAAAGATTAAAAAACTTTGCATGGAAGAGTACCCCACAGGAGGCAGAGTCACCAAAAATTAGGAAGACTGAGAGGTCACAACTTGGGAGAAAGTTGCAGGACTGGAATATTAATTAGCAACAAGGACAAAGCACCTGGGACACAACACTCCAGGAGATGTATGTCAAGTGTGTGGGTTCAAAAAAAAAGGAAATCCACTGTTTATCTCAAAGGGAACAAGAAGGAGTATCCCCTCGGTGAGTGATACAAGTCACCACTGTCAAAATGAAACAGGATCAGTTAAACCAGACAAGAAGAAGAGTGTGAACTAAGGCACCTTGGAGTGGGGGAGGTGTCTGGGAGTGAATGGGATAAGACCTTTTAACTGGAGATCATTATCCTGAAGCCTCACACTGATAGACCCCCCCCTTTGAAGATGAGCATCAGAAAAGAGAAAATCCATAAGTGAGAGAGAAAGCAGTAAACACGACATTGTGGGGGATATGTTGAACTATCAATGCATATATACAAAGAGGGAATGATGAAAAGTAAGAGAAAAACCCAAAGTAAAGGCTCAAATAACAGAAAACACCTTTGAATGCATTTGAGGAGGAGAATAGATGGTCCTGACGGAGGGGGTGTTTAAAAATACTAAAGACTAGAATGTGACATATGTAACAGGAAAACTTATCCAACTGGAAAATCCAACAACCAAAACTAACTACGGAAGGAGTAGAAGAGTATGTTAATACTACCCCTGTTTGAAAGGGCTAACCAAAGATAGATATACAATGAATGGTGATGGTAAAATCCCCCAAATGTGTAAGTCGGTAAAACGCAGATTGCCCCACAAAAAAACATATGAAAACAAGGTCAAGGCACAAAACTGGTATCTAATAACGTGGTGAAAAAATGAAAGATAAGAACTTCTACTGTGAGAATTCTCAGTCCTGCAGAAACAGCCTACCCAAATGTGATCAAAGACGACATATTACAGCAGAGAAGGGGCCCTCAAAAACAAAATTAATGGTAAGAAGTATAAACTATAAAGAAGGACTAAAATGAAATAGTTGATATAGTGAAAATGTAAAGAAATTGTGTAGTGAAATAAACACATGTATGTGATGTTATACGTTGATGAAAAGATATTTATCTTAATTATTGATTAAGCCATAAATAACAGACACTTATTAAGCCTAATTGAACAAGATATTTAATCTAATTATTGATTAACCTGGAACTAAAACTACAGGTAAACCTAAAATAAACACTTGTGAAGCCTAATGGAACAATACAGAACAAAGGATATCACTAAGCACTAAAATAAAAACTTAAAGAAACAATAAATAGGTACAATATTGGAAGAAGTTTGTATGGACTCCGGCTCAAGGGTCCAAGTGAATAGGAAGAAGGATAAGAGAGAAATGAAAATGAAATAGGTGTGACCGTATAAAATTAAGGAAGTGTGTAGTAACAATAACATATGTATGAGACATGATGTATGGAAGAAATAAACAATATAGTTAAACTAATGATTGATATACCAGTAAAATGAATTACAAGTAATCCTAAAATAACAAAGACCATGATAAGCCTAAGTGAATGGTATAGGAGAAAAGATTCAAATAAGATTAACTGCTAACCTAAATTTAAGTATTAACCAATCTAAAAAAAACCCAAATAACTACAGATAATAATATCAACAATAAAATTACACAAAAACCATAACAGTAGAACATCTATCTTTCCAAAGTCGGCAGGTTGTGTTTCAAATGTGTGGGCCCCCAAACTCGAGGCAAGGCCCAACAAAAGTAAGTTCATTGGATGCCCAATCTCCAAATGAAGTAAAGCCAAAAATCTTCCTGTGGAGTACCACGACCTGAAACCCATATATTTGCCCACATATTCTATAACAAATTTTGTGAAATTTCTGGGCAAACCCTATTATGAACCACTATCATGGTAAGTACAAACCCACTCTATGACATTAAGGCAGAGCAATTAGTGGACTTTGATAATCAATTAATTGTTGGTCTCTTGAGGAAAGCGGAGTAAAAAGAATCTTACTGAAGTGTACAAGATTATCTGGGGAGGGGGAGGGAATCAACAGGGTAAACATGTCTGAATTCATATTATATTCTAAAGATAACAGGACATGATGACAGAAGATCTGAAAAGCACAGGCTAGTTTTATTTTTCTAACAGGTTGGGTGCTCATGATACGAGTTGTACTGGAAGAGTTGCATCTTATGAGACGAGTTGTTGTAATGGAAAAGCTGCACCTTATGAGACGAGTTGTAATGGAAAAGTTGCATCTTATGAGATGAGATGTTGTAATGGAAAAGTTGCATCTTATTATAAAAGTTGCTGTTATGGAAAAGTTGCATCTTATTATAAAAGTTGCTGTTATGGAAAAGTTGCATCTTATGATACAAGTTGTTGTAATGGAAAAGTTGCATCTTATGAGATGAGTTGTTGTAATGCAAGAGTTGAATCTTATGATACAAGTTGTAATGGAAAAGTTGCAGATTAGATGAGTTAAAGAGGGAATCAATGATTTCCTTGAAAATAGAATGGATTTAAATATTTACTTCTCTAAGAGTTGGGTAAGCAGGGACAGCCTTCTTGAACAACAATGGGTCTTTTGTTGTTTGTATATTATGTTAAAATTAATTTATATTACTCTCAAGAGACTCAAAACAAAAAGATATGTCCTGAATTATGTTTGAATAAATTCTGTGCTAGTAATGCAGAGTTCAGCAGTTGTTTTGATTTATAATAGACAAATGTACAATGTTGTATTACCAAACAAACAGAATATCAAAAGAAAGTCTGCATCAGACATCAACTTACTTATAATACCAAGAACATGTTAGCAAGCAAAAGGTCATTAAGGTGAAATATCTTATCAGAACAATGCAGACTCAGAGAGCAAGGGTGGTAAACTGTTTATTATTGAAATAAGAAAGACAAAATAGATCTCTTCATTGAAACAAAATGGCTGAATCATGGATTGTATATCAAATGTTCAGAGTTTATCATGTACAATCAGACAAGAAAGAAAGCAACAAGGATCGCACAAGAAACCCTGGAACTGAAAAATTGCCAAAGTGTAAGAAATTACAACACCACATGAAACTGAATAAGCATATCATAAAACATGAGCCTGGAATCAGCACATTATATCAAAACAAACTAAAATCAGTTTAGTATTATATACTATTTTTTCAACATCAGAATTTGGTATTTTTAAAAAATTAGATTTATTTACATAAAACTGGAATAACCAGTTGGCATTCCAGAAAACACTTAAACTATGTATAATCTGATAAAACAATCAGCACAAAAGGTCACACATAAGACATGCAATGATTTAAAAAAAAAAGGCCAAAAACTTGAGCACTTTTGAATAGTGAAATATCCGAAAGCACTAAAGTTGTGGGTCATGTTTTTAAATTCACCAAACTATACATATATATACACATTTATCTTATTTGTGACTACAACATGCTAAGTCCTATGCAAATTCTCTACCACTTTTACACAAGTAACTTTATTTTTTACATCTGTGACTTACATCATAATCTAATCCTACAACTACAGGCATATACAGCACATTAATCTTTTTTTTTCCTACATCTGTAATTGTACCAGTTTGCTCAATATGAAATTCTGTAAATATTTATTTTTAAAGACTTGTGACGTAAAATTTAAATAAAATCAGCATGTTTTTCTATCACTTGTACATACATAACTTTACATTTTTAAGACATAGATATCACACATTATAAAAACAGAAATTAGTAACAAAACAAATTTCCAAGTGTATATCGAATAATTATACTTGTCCTTTTCAATAATAGCCACGTAACTGCCATATCAATAAAGTCTCAAAACGTAGACATCAAAATAAATTTTTTTTGCATGTAGAACTACTAACAGAAAACTCAAAGGGTGAAATTATAAAAATAAAAAACTAACTATAGAAACTGGAAACAGCTCCACGAACCTCAGTTTGAGATCATTACACTCCACAAACTCAGATTCGCTAACATCTACCCAACCATCTTCACTGCTTGTTGGAGGAGTGCCTGAAAGAAATCATGGACAGAAATTATACAGTTTCAGATGCAACCAACACCGGCTCATAGAAAATATACACACTTTATTAACTTATGTTTAAACAAATGTTGAAATAAAAACAACAACGTAATCATTCATTTATATTTTAATGCACCTACCTCCTTGAGCATCTTCAGCACTGGATATAGAATGTAGAACTTGGCTGACATATTATACCATATTTTACTTTACTTTCTCTCATAAGTTGTTAGAAATAGTCATTTAAGTGCCAACCATTACTGATAGAAGGTATTAGAAGCTGTATGGTTATAGTCATTGTTTGTCATTGTAGTGACAGAAGGTATTAGAAGCTGTACAATTTTAATCATTGTTTGTCATTGTAGTGACAGATGGTATTAAAAGCTGTATGGTTATAGTCATTGGTTGTCATTGTAGTAATAGAAAATAGTGGTATTAGAAGCTGTATGGTTATGGTCATTGTTTGTCATTGTAGTAACAAAAAGTAGTGGTATTAGAAGCTCTATGGTTATAGTCATTGTAGGGACAGAAAAACTAGTATCAGTAGATGTATGGTTTTAGTCATTTGTCATTCTGATGACAAAGTGGTGGTATCAGTAGCTGTGTGGTTATGGTCATTGCTCATATTGTGGATAGGTGTTCACTATGAATTATGGGTAAGTTGGTTGTCATTGTAGTAACATTGGTTGTCATTGTAGTGACAGATGGTATTAAAAGCTGTATGGTTATAGTCATTGGTTGTCATTGTAGTGACAGATGGTATTAGAAGCTGCATGGTTATAGCCATTGTTTGTCATTGTAGTAACAGAAAATAGTGATATTAGAAGCTGTATGGTTATGGCCATTGTTTGTCATAGTAACTGAAAGTAGTGGTACAAGAAGCTGTATGGTTATGGCAATTGTTTGTCATTGTAGTAACACAAAGAAGTGGTATTAGAAGCTGTATGGTTATGGCAAGGACTATAACCATACAGCTTTTAATACCATCTGTCACTACAATGACAAACAATGATTAAAATTGTACAGCTTCTAATACCTTCTGTCACTACAATGACTATAACCATACAGCTTCTAATACCTTCTGTTACTACAATGACAACCAATGACTATAACCATACAGCTTCTAATACCTTCTGTTACTACAATGACAAACAATGACTATAACCATACAGCTTCTAATACCACTACTTTCAGTTACTACAATGACAAACAATGACTATAACCATACAGCTTCTAATACCACTACTTTCAGTTACTACAATGACAACCAATGACTATAACCATACAGCTTCTAATAACACTAATTTCATTCTCTCACTAAAATGACAATAACTATAATCATACCACTTCTTACAGCACAACTTTCTTTTACTTCAATGAAGTTCAACGACTATGATTATACAGCTATTATACTACAAACTCTTTCCAACTTTACATCACCATAGTATTATTTCTTAAAACACAGTACTGAACATTTATGTATTACTATTACTATATAATTCCCACTGCTGAACTGTTTCTACTTCCACAATGATCAGCAGCCACTATCATAATACTATTATCAAATATGACCAACAAAAATTAGCATCATACAGCTATTAGTGATAGTACTGTATGTTTTCTGTTAGCAATGTATCTTCAACTTGATATATATATATATATATATATTGTTGCATTATTTCAGTCACTGCAACAACGAACAACAACTGCCAAGTGCTAATACTTAGTAATATACTGTACAATACAAATAAAAGGAACTTGTAATATTTTAAATGTAATAATGCAAGTCACTTATAAAATAATGCCAATTACTCTTTCTTTCAGTTTGTATTTCACACATATCAGGTATCTATATCATGTGATCTGAAATGCAAATGATGGGTCATTCAGATTATGCTAAAGAGGTTATAAAGTTGCCTTTATATCTTTACAGTTCATTACATTTCACCTCAGTGTGTTGTAGGGTCATCACAAAAAGTAAGGGTAACATGACCCCAATGTTGCATACTTAAAATCAGTGTTGATAAAGCCCTCTCGGGTATTTTACACAACTCTTTTGAAAGAGCTGTTTCAAGGGCATCTTTAGTGTAGAGAGTGTGGCACGTCTTACAAAAGAATTCCACAAATCTTCAATAAAACTAAAGTAAAATGAGTTTGCAGTCCACTTCACTAGGTCAAGGAATGTACTGACCTATTTATGAGCCATTAGTCTCAACACAAGGCCAATTACATCAACAGCTTGAAAGTTCATAAGATGTAGATGTGTGGTATTAAAGGTCAACTTTTGCAGGATATACACTGTAAAAGGTTGGTATGTCCACTAATGGTTATTACTGCCCACACCATACTGTTACTACTCTTATACATATCATGTTCCTGTGTGAAAATGGGATTGAATCTGTTACAGATTATCTTTAAACAAAGATATGCATATTATCCAGGCATGTATGCCTAAAAACCCTATAGAGTGTAATATATTATTCAAAGTTGTAACCTATTAATATAAATTTTAGCATTTTTATTATCTTGCTAATGTTTAACAAAATAATTAGAAAGAAAACAACAACAATAAAATAACAGCTACTTACCCACTTAAATGTACATACCCAGTTAAGATATGGTGATAATATTCTACAACCAACATAGCACCCCAGATGATAAAGTACACATGCACACATGATAAAACAGTCTGTTCAATTGATAATTTTTCTTTTCAAACTGTTTATTTATCTTTAAACTCCACTAAAAATTTGGAGTATGCTCACTGTCTAAACGTTATCATTTTCCTAAACTGAAAATGTATTTCCAAACATACATACAAACATACACTACATATATACAGTACTTGCATAGAGGGCATGTGAGGGCTGGTATAAAGTTTTGTAAATTAGATATTGCCAAGGGCAGTCAAGTGGGGTATATATAAAGACTGGAGCAAATGAACACAACATCAGATGGCAAAAATGATGATCGAGAAATAGCTATTAGTGTCATTGGAGGTATGTATATTTTGGAATAAAAACTTTTCCAAAACCTTTGAGAATCTTCCATAATATTTCCAGGCTTGGAAACAACATTCAAAAATTTAAAACTTTTCAAGGATTTCCATGACTGCAGGAATTCTAAGACAATGATGAGTCAAAATCAATATAGTAGTTGTTTGCTTACATTGGGGATGATTCCACACCGTTCAGGTATCCAAGCAACTGTATCATTGGTTTAGAAGTAGTTCCACATTCCGCAAGTAATTATCTTGTCAACAACACCTCACGTGTGAAAAAAAAGGTGCAGTCAAAAAAAAGGATTGAGTGTGCGACTAAAAAGAATGAAATCAAAATTGGCAGCCAAACTAGTAACTACACTGATAGCATTGATAAATTAGTCAGTTAGTTATACTGCATTTTTGTTTAATTTTGCACATGATGGTGGGAAAAACAAAATGTGTAGTCTAGCTAACTAATGAATTAATATTTGCTGTAAAATTCTTATCAATGCTATAAGTGTAGCTACCAGTTTGGCCACCAATTTTGATTTCATTCCTTTAAGTTACACAATGAATCCTTTTTTGGCTGCACTTTTTTTTCACATCTAGTGTTTTTGATAAGATATCATGACTTTTTGTCAATACACACCAACAAACCAGAGCAAATAAGAAAATGACACTCGTTAGTAACCAACATTAGCTATTATTCAGAACAGGCCTATACTTTACAGAACCAACTAGATTCTTTACAATATATGGGGTTAGTTTTTCCTCTCTAAAACAGTGTTAATAGCTTCCTTTATACTACACGCAATGAAATTTAGATTAACAGTTTCTTGTCATCTCCCTCATGCAATCAGTAAAGCTGTATCAAAAATCATTATTTATGCTTAAGCTAATATCATGTGATGTTAAATGCCCTTTAATTAGGATAATTGCATAAAATTTAGTAAATTTGTGCTGAAAAGTTGGCAATGAATAATAAATAATAACCGTCCACCTGTATGATTCTTTTGAAAACTTGAGCTAAAAACTGCTAGTTAACTTGCTTGGCCTAACCAATACTTATGTATCTGCACGTCCTTTCACCTTACGATTTTCCTGCTCTGAATCAGCAATCTTTAATCCTTATATAAAAAAAAAATCTAAAAACAGTCCACTTTTACTCTTACCTGAAGCTGTAGTCAAAAAATATTAGACTGATAGTTCACGCAACTTCTTATGTAGGTATGTGCAAAAATTCTTAAAATTTGAGCAGTTTTTGTTGAATGAACTTTACACATGTGGCTTATATTTACACTAAATGAGACTCCTAACTGTAGGTTGTAAAGATCGATCAGAGTACCAAATTTGGAAAAAAAATCCATAAAAGTTATGCATGCTTTTCTATGAAATAAATTTTCCATACTTTTGGTATAAAGAAAAAAAATAGGAAAAAACTCAATCAAAATTGGAGATATCTCAGTTATTTCTTAATGTATTGCCAGTACAGAACATTCACAGAAAATATGCGATAATTTGGATTACCACTGTCTGTGCTATAGAAGGTGGAAAAATCACTAAACTATCACTCCTGTTAATAATATATAGTGTGTCCTGGAAGAAACTCAATCAAAATTGGAGATTTTATATCCCAGTTATTTCTTAATGGGTTGTCTTGAAATTTGGTATGTGAAGTAAGAGTCCAGTAGAACATATTCACTGAAAATATGTGTTAGTTTGGATTATCACAGTCCACGCTATAGAAGGTGGAAAAATCACTAAACTATCATTCCTGTTAATGACACACAGTGTGTCTTGCAGGTTGTTTCTTTTTGGCCAAAAAAAATTACCGTGTGTCTTGATAGTTGTGGAACCTGTAACCCAAGTTGCAATGGCCTGCTGTGAATGGCCAGTTTCCTCTCATCAAAAATGTTTTCCACTCGTGGTAAATGAACAATTTGGGACATAATTTGAAACTTTGTAATTCACTTAAAACTGACAACTGATTGTGTGAGACCACTAGATACAACATACTGTAGGCTTATAATGGTTGAAGACAGCTTGAATGGGTACTGAAGAAAACCTTGAATATAAGTTTAACATAACAGTATATACTTATATTAAAGTTTTTCTTCATTACCCATTCAAGCCATCTTCAACCATTATTAGTCTCAAAGTGGGTTCCTTGTCATCGAATACTGTAGGCTTGCGAGACCACTAGATACAACATACTGAATGACCAATCATTTACATTTCAGATCCTGACCAAAATTTGTACATCAATGAACTACTGATTATATTTTAATTATTTTGTGCAGTTTGTTTTTTCCATCATTACAACGATGAAAAACTACCACAACAAAGGTAATTCCAATTCTTCTGCTTAATTTTCACTCCCCCAATGACGAACAATGACTACCTTCATACAGCCGTTTCTGAGACTTTTCACTCCCCCAATGAGGAATGACTACCTCCATACAACCATTTCTGAGACTTTTCATATTCATTCAGTTTAAAGAAAAATTAACAAATACTTGACTTTCACAGATGTCCCTCAAAAATTATTAACCAATAAGACCATAAAACTGTTACACTAATGCACTGTTTCTGTATTCATGACTATCACCAACTATCACGACTACTAATGAGACAACTGCATTACTTGACTTTCACAGATGTCCCTCAAAAATTCACCAATATGACCATAAAACTGTTACACTAATGCATTGTTTGTGTATTCATGAATATCACCAACTATCATAACTACTAATGAGACAACTGCATTACTTGACTTTCACAGATGTCCCTCAAAAATTATTAAACAATATGACCATAAAA